CGTTAGTGCCACCAAAATTGTTATTTTTATAAAAGTATAAATTTAAAAATTAAAGAATATATGTCGTCATTATATATTTGGAGTGTTTAATATTTGGATAAGTGTATAATTAGAGTGTTGTTTAATTGTAAATAATGAATTAATCTTTTGGAGATCTATGAATATTTAAAAATTGTTAATAGTTATTTATACATTTAATAAAAAATTAGAAAACTTAATATGGTAGGTTTAAATCTACCTCTATATATAGGGAGAGCTAATCTATATGAATTTGCCACATATAGAAAAGAACAAAAGATGAGTTCCACTTATGGCGAGAATATAGAAAGAAATGAGTTACTAAAGGCTCAAGCTAATGTGTGGAATCACGTCTTCAATTTCATACATTCTGCTTGTCTTAAGTGTGCAGTTGAATTAGGCATACCAGATATTATTCACAACCATGTTATACCCATCACAGATCAACAACTTATTGCTGCTCTACCAATCAACCCTTCAAAAGCAGATGGTATCCACCGGTTAATGCGCATATTGATTAACTCTGGTTTCTTCAAGAAGGAAAAAATAAGTCCAAACGAGTTGGAAGAAGGATATGTACTTACCACTTCTTCCCAGTTGCTCCTCAAGAGCAATCCCTTTAGTATTGTACCATTTTTGTTTGCGATGCTTGATCCAGTCTTAATGAACCCATGGCCCCATCTTAGCGCTTGGTTCCAAAATGATGATCCAACTCCATTTTTTACAGCACATGGGATCACATTATGGGACTACACTACCCGTGAACCTAGATTTAACTATTTGTTTAATGAAGCTATGGCATGTGATTCTCATTTAGTTACAACAACTATAATAAATAATTATAAAAATGTATTCGATGGGTTAAAGAAATTGGTTGATGTTGGAGGTGGCACTGGAAATTTTGTTAAAGATTTGGCTCATCAGTTTCCAAACTTAGAGTTCACTGTTTTTGATCTTCCACATGTAGTTGATGGCTTCCAATCCACCCACAACTTGAAATATGTTGGAGGAGACATGTTTGAAGCAATTCCTCCTACCGATGGAATCATATTAAAAGTAAGTGATAACATCTTATTTATATAAAAATACAATTATTTTTTCATTTAATGTGGATAATTAACTTATATATATGTATCTATATATATTTATTACAATAACTAGAAATGTTTATTGACGCATGCAGTGGATATTACACGATTGGAATGATGAAGACTGTAAAAAGATACTTAAACGTTGTAAAGAGTCAATTACGAAAAGTGATGAAGGAGGTGGTAAGGTGATAATAATAGATATTGTCATGGATAAGCAAAAAGAAGATACAGAGTTCATCCAAACACAACTCTTGTTTGACATGGTAATGATGGCTGACGTAACTGGAAAGGAGAGAACTGAAAAAGAATGGGCTAAACTCTTTTTTGTTGTTGGATTCAGTCACTATAAGATTATTCCCATACTAGGTACAAGATCAATCATCGAGCTCTATCTTTAATATCTACTACTTACAATATGTATTTATATCAATATAATACATATTGGCATCTTTTCAATTGGTATGATTCTGTTACTCACTATAAAAGTCTAAGTTTAAATTCATATTATGTAATTTATTTGTTCTTATTAAAATTTTATTAAGATTTTATTATGCAGTTGCCTCCTAATTTTACCATATATAAACTTTCAATCAACATGTATATATATACATGCATGTATATTTTCATTGTTGGTTGAAAAGAAAGTCAAGCATGAAAGCTAATGGGATTATTTGTGCAATAGTTTTTATTTTTAATTTTGTTAAATATTTTACATCCAATAATTTTGAGTAAGAAAAGCATATATTTATATACATACATATATATATATATATATAATATGTATATATAGACTTCAAATCATGCTCATCCACTCAATAAATTTAGAATGCTAATTAATCTTTATTCGAATTAATATAAATCGAGCACAATCTAATATAAGTTAATGACCAATCCCAATCTAATATTTAATTGATATTAGTAACCAATATATATAAATCTAACTCTTTGATAACGTGATTGAGTATCAATCTAATATTTAATTGATACAATGAAATTGTTTATATACATATTTCTAGTTAAACTAGGCTTATGAGATTCTTCTAAGATTGTTGAAATTACACATGTATATTATAACACGTTTACATTTTTTAAAGGTGAAACTCCATTAAAATAATATATCATTAAAAGTAAATAATTTTTAAATTTATTAGATTTTAAATCTATCAAATGAGTACATTGCATGTATTGCTCAAGCACACTACTAATTTTTACTATCCCGAACTACTTCTTTGTCGATATTAAAAATATATACCTCAAAACGAAAAAAAATTTATTATAAAATTTAATGACTTAAAATTTGAATCATATTTCTCGTTATATTAAAAAGAATATTTGTCATTTGTGTTTATCTTTTTCGTTATATTTCAAAACTTCAAAAATGGTGATAAATTAACATCGATATCTATTTTTATAATGGTGAATATGTATTTTAAATATTTTATTCTACTTTTAAATGCCTAAGTTAAGCTACTTGGTAATTTTTATTTTCTTATGTATGAACAAAAATTAAACCATTGTAAGTTTTTCAAGAAAAACTCTAGATGTAATTTATAATATAATTCGAAATGAAAAAAAGATTATATTATGAACTAGTACCGAACCCGTGACTTTAGGTTCTCAATACAGAACTCGCATATGATTGTCGAGACAACTGTCTATAGATGCAAGCGTCTTCGTAGAATCAAACCTTATAGCAAATTTCTCAATCCATAACCGACTTAATATTATAGCCAATGTACAGAGATCTAACAATAGAATTATCTCTATCTGATCTTATATTAAAAGGTGCATTTTCATAAATCCTGACAAAATTCTTCGACAGAGTTCGAAACATCCATAGGTCGTGTTAGAATCATTACCTGGTGTTGGTACCTTCAACTTGAAAGAGTACATCATTTTCTTCAGCTTCACCATGCAAGGGAAGTATGGTGTTGGTACCTTCAACTTGAAAGAGTACATCATTTTCTTCAGCTTCACCATGCAAGGGAAGTATCTCCCCATATCAAAGTGCACTGTCCCAGAAGCTACAGAATAAAGACAAAGTTTAGTATGAACAGGAATCCGCATCTACCAATAGATGACATTCCTTAGTTAACTGATAGCCATTACTTCCAGACTTCCGTAGAAGGGATCCGGTTAGTCTGTTATAGAGAATATACTATCTGCGAAAGAAAATCCTGTTTACAACATCGACTGGTAAAGCATAGGCAGGATCAATGGTTTTCACTCCAGGATATTCAAGAAGCGAGAGCCCTGCACCAATAGTGAAAAAAAAGAACCTTGGCATTAATAAGTAATCGTAACAAAAGAAAATGAAATGTCAATTATGAAATCAATCACAAATAGTAAGAACAATTTTCAAATCAGAATCGACTATAACGAAACTTCCATAATCTGACCGTGAGAGGAACTAAAAAGGCTATCATCCGTGTCTAAAATATATTTACGTAGAGTACAAGAAAAAACATAAAGAAATTGGCAGCTTCTCTCTCCTTGGAGATGAAGATTGAACAATATATATGAGGGGTAATTCGGCAATTCCCTCAAAAGCTCTCTTGCTCCTCTCCCTCCAAACAGGTAAGAATTAAGTTGCACCATGCACAAGATCCTAAACCAAATATTTAGGCTAAACCGAGATAAAACAATAAGTTTAACTACCAGCAACACCAAAATATGTATGGAAAACATCAACAGCATCCTCTGGTCGATCTGAAATCCCTCCATTTTCTATGTCCTGCAAGTTTCAAAGGTCAAAGAGCTAACAACGTACATACCCAAAGAAGATTAAGATTATTCACAAGAAAAAAAATGACAAGAGGTGGTCCAGATTTGTGCAAACCTGACAGTCCAAAATGAACTTCATAAGCTTTTCTTTGTTAATCCAGTGAACCCTGTCAATCATTATCAAGCTTGAAAGAACCCACCACGAGTAGCAAACCTGAAGTGGTATGCACCATAACAGGAAGATTCTTAAGAGAATGCTCTCAGAGGAAAAATGACAAAAATATCCAATGCTCCAGTAAGGAAAATGACAGGAAACACCCACATCAGGAAGTTTCTCAGGACGTCCATTTAAACCTCCAGATTTGACTTGGCGCTCGCATAACCACCAACCAAGTAGGTCTTTATCTACATGGTGCAGACTCCCTGTAATAGCAAGTGCGCCCACACAACAAAAGACTGCAACAAGTAACACACAGAAAAGTGTAAACTTTCAAAATCTAATTATATCATTTACTAAAAAGAATAAAGGCATCCTCAAACCATAACCCTTTGCCCAAAGGGAAGCAATGAAAATCACTTTAGCCCAAACTGCTTGAGTTGGTTTAAATTGATGTTTAAAAGTCCAATTATTCTGTTCCAGTGAAATGACCCATGAACTTTAGATTGTGTCTTTTGACTTTTATTTAATACTTATGCTGGTCTGTCTCTTATTTTAAGATTATATAATCAAAAACCTTAATTACAAACAACCATACAGAGAGTAAATTATCAAAACCTGCTTTGCTGCAATGGTAATTATTCACAAAACATTTGCTCAGAGGCTTTGACAGGTAATCAGAAACCTAAAGAAAATGTATAACATACTCTGTCCTGCATGAGACTCAGCACCAGGGGTGCATCCAAAACCACCGTCTGGATTTTTGCAGCTTAGAATATAGTTCACAGCCTTCTCCACATTGATCTCATCAAGACATTGTAGTGTAGCAAGACAACATATGGCAATATATGAGAACCTAAAAAGAAATAGTTTGGTAAGATTTCAACATTATATAACCATTGTGAAAGGCACAAAAGATGGCAATAAATAAATAGAGTACCGTGTGTCCACTTCACCCCACATATCCCCTGAAAAAGAGCCATCTTCATTCTGCAAACCAGCAATATCTAACTTAATGTTTAAGCAAAACTAAACTTGTTGCAGACCTTTTTCTTCTTCATTGGTAGATAGAGGAGGTTGCTCTATACAAATATAACAAACTAACAAGCTATTGAACTTTTGACATTCACTGAGACTCATTATTACAATCAACTTTATAAAAGATGAATAGACATTTTATAAAGAAAGATAGCAATATTATATGACAAGAAAAAGTACCACTTCTCTTATCAGATACAAGCAAAGGACATTATCAATGAAATGAAGCACAAACACCAAAGAATTAAGCAGAAGGATACAACCTGATGTTTTATCAATATCAAGTATATCAAGCTTGTCAAAGAGGGCTAAAACTTGTACAGCACTGAGTGTATACAGAATATGAGGGTCATGTCCTATGTTACCAGCAAACCCACCTGCAAGACAAAGGTATCAATATTCATCAATTACTTGGACCATAAAATTCCTGGGAGGAAAATATGAACTTGACAAAGAAACTTGTAACTATTTTGCCTTGATGCTTTGCATACCACTCTCATGCTGGCACTTCATAACCCACGAAATCACTTCATCTAAATCGACAGAATCAAGCTTTCCCAGAAGGCTTAAAGTAGTCAATCCCCAGTATGCACCGTTCATTCTTAGATGTTCCATCACCACAGATTCAAAGCTATCATTTCTCTGAAAAGTTGATCAACTTAGTACGAAGGAGAGAATCATTCTCCAATGTACTTGAAAATGAATAAGGAAAGGAAAAGAAAACAACACATCAATTAGACCTACCTTTTCAACAGATAAAATGTACTGTACATGCTTGTCAACTGCAAATTCCCCCATCTGCATCCATGTTACAATTCCTCTCAATCTTTATAGTCAATATGTGGTTAAAAACTTGAAATTTTTCATATGTTTATACTTAATCAAACCTAGAATGCTTTTATATATCATGCTTGGCAGGAGAGAAATGTCAGAACCCCTCAAAGTTCCATATATCAAGATTCAAGAGATGGAACAAAGCTGAAAATATTCTATATGCCGATTACTCATTTTCCAGTGATGTGTTTGGTTCATACATAAGCTAGTTTAAGAGTCAAGAAAGTGAGGCATAGAGAGCGTGTGCCTCTTGCTTCCCTTCCATTTTTTGCCAGCTTCAACCAGCCTGGATGGTAAGCAACCATGCCCACAGATATACCCAACAAATTCTTGGCCACATAAATGCAAATCGTTCTACTGCTTTGACTTTGAGATTTGATGACTCTTTAGGGGCAGTCTGCAAGCTTCTCGGTTCTAAGAGGCCTACTCTTGTAGTAGAAGGTAAAGGAAGAGGATGATAATCCAACACAGTCCCACTGGATGAAAGGATAAAAATGTTACTTCCGGAAAGTACTAGGCAGAGTGAACGGTGGAGGCTTATTTTCAGTATAAGTTTCATCATCAGATTAAGCTAAGAAAGGGAGTGACATGAAATTGGTGGCTGGATCTATTAGAACAGCTGGCGAAAGAGAGCAAGAAAAGCCACTATCTTTCTCAAGCCATGTACCAAAAAGAGTTATGGTCAGAAGGAATGAATAACTACCACCCATGTTCGATGTGTAAGAAGATCCTTCAGTGAAGCTAATGACCACCAAACTTTCATGCTCTTATGCTAGGATGCTGCAACATCAGGGTCAAGCAGGAATTAACCATGGGGAGGCACAAAGAACAAAGGAGCAAAATACACAACCAGTCCACAAAGGCGTCTTTCGGTCAGTTGAAACTTGGCCTCTAATCCAATCCATAGCCTAAAACTAAAGGTGAACAAACTGTTGGATATCAATTTGGAGGGATTAAAAAACTAGGTCCTCAACTTGTTTAGAATATTGGAAGAAGCACAATTTACAAGGAGCAACTTGCTTGTTATTCCTACACATAATTCTTGAAACTACATCAACATAAGTGACATCCTTAAATCAAAATCCTCAATAATTTGTTTTACCATATTCACATTCCATAATTTAACCTCACCTGTCCTACTATTTGCTCCAAAATAAAACCAGTTTGAATGAGAATCTAAGTACCATGCGCAAGAGAGAATAAGCCTAGTCTAAAGACATCATTTACTGGAACTAAAGGACACAGATTAGAAGCACATGCATGATTAGAAGCAACAAAAACATAAGGCGACTCATGTCTCATTAGATCATACACATGATGTAAAAGCACCAACCATGGTATTTCCTCCATTTTCAATGCGTATTTAATACTGCAAATTTCAACAAAGTAATAAAATACAAGGAAGAGAAGGGAAGGAAGAACGGTATATGTACCTTCCTGAAGAATCGAGAGTCTCGCTTGATCCCAACTCTCTTCTACCCTCTGTTTTAGCTTCAACAAAAAGTCTTTTCTACTCTCTGAATCTCTTCCGTACCCAGTCGCGGGTTAAGACCAGAGGAAGGAACGACGTCCTTCACCTGAACGACGTCGTTTCCCGAGAGGAAGTTGGGCTCGGATTAGCGTCTGGGCCTGGTAAATCTAAATTCTGGGCAGTGTAAACTTTTACTTGGGACGGATTGGGAGTTTTCTCTGGGCTGTATCAAATTTGATTTTGGGCTTAATGGATTTAAAAGGCTATGTGTAAATCAATCAATGGAAGGAGCTTACCTTACCTTATGGGAGTCCGATCTATGGAAGAGGAGTTGCTGGTGAGCTACTACCAAGACTCCATGGTCAACGACAGAGACTTGATTGCTGGAGGCATGAGGATGACCCTGGGTTGTATATTTATGAAGTGAATAGCCAAGCAGAGGAAGCTCATCACAGAAGCTGGACTGCTAAAGGCGTAGAGTTGGTGGTGTCTTTGGATGATGAAAATAGATATACCTATTATATGTATATATGTATAAAATGTGAGCCAGATTTGAACGGATTTGGAAAAATCCAACCCAGAATTCGTCAAAGTCCTGATCGTCATTTCCTGTTGATCCATACCCGCTCTCAACTCGAACCCAATCTTTTTTCTAAAGACAACCTTGGACTGAGTTTAGATCGTGCGAGCGCAAATAGACCTTTCCATCCCCGTGCAGTACGAATAAACTATTAAATCTATACTTATCACGTACCCGTTTTAGATTTATAACTTTTTAATCTACAATCGTAATATCCTCTGTTATTCGTCCTATTTAGAATGATTTGAGACAGAGTAACATACCACTGATTCGAATGCCCATACCTCATGTATACCAGAAATAGAGAGAACTTTGAGTTCACCAGACTTTCACTGAAATCAACTATGAAAAGAAAACATTCCTGGATTATTCTCTGAATAATAATACAGACTTCATTAAGATCAATCTCTACCTTCAGATCTATAAGGCTTACATATTTATAGTGTCCTCATCCTAATCATGAAAAAGCAATGACTAACGAAAGAAATATGAATTCCATAGGAAAATTTATCACAATTATATGAGAAAAATGTAGCTAATAATACTAAACTACTAACCCATTTAGGAAGATAAATATAAAATAATATTAACAGTTTAATGATATTTCTATAATTCCTCTATTATACATCTGTTCTGAATTTTCATCACTGATGATAAACTTCATTTTGTATTTAGATTCCGTCTACAATGTCATGCTGTTGAATATTCCGAAATAGCTTTCCTTTGCTCTAGTAATTTAGCAAGAGCGCTGTCGATTTGGGCAAACACATCCTCCTTGTAAACATTTCCATTAACCTGAAATGAACAACAAAAGACAAAAATAATAATACAAGTCAGATACAAACATTCAGAAAACAAAACAAAAAGAAAAGCAAAAGAAAGACTAGATATGCCAGTCACACCTCTTCTTACTTTTTATTCAACAGAAAGAAAAGCCAGACTCATTAGATTCACGAGTTAAAGCATCTCAACCAAGCAAGCAAATAGGTGTCGAATCCACTTTACAGCACCCATTCTTTTCTTTCATATAATGTATTTATTGCAACTGTCAAATGCTAACTCAATATATAGCAGATAAAAATGCTTAGGTAAAGGTACCTATCTGAATAATGATTTACTAGAAAATAATCTCCGAAAAATGCATAGCACTTCCTTCCTGTGAATTTTTGAATTGGCCATTATATTCTATCGTGAGTTTGGTCATAACAAATGCATTTTGGTACAAAATATGAGAATTATTCTCTAAAACATCTTTTTAGTGAAACAGAACGTCCCAGGTTTCTTGAGGTATCATGTTATCCAACTATTCCCAAGCAGACCAAAACTTCATTGAATTGCTAGAGGAAAAAAAAACAAAAAAAGCTCTGAAAAGGAAGCTAAGAACTGTAATAAATAATACTTCATTAAAAATTAAGATACTTTTGAATGGCAAATACTCATGTCAAATGTATTAAGACTATGGTTCATTGATTTCCTATTAATCTCCTTGTCGTACAAGGATTTCCCTTAGCATACACTACAAATATCTTGTACTCTTCAAGTGGCATATCAGACATTAGAAATAAACTTGTTAAGAGATTATTCTCTCTAATTTCTTGATAAACCAGAATTTCCTGTCCAGCGGAAATCGATTTTTATCCCTGAAGTCTATTTCCCAAACTACCTCTTTTCTCCTTAAATCAGTATAAAAGAAATACCAAAGGCAAAAATTTTACTAGGGATATATGTGTGCACGTGCTTCTAAATATATAAATATGTATGTACATATACATTCAAACTTATATATATAGATATATAGACATAGAGTAAATACCTTAATTGTGATTTTTTCATACATAGAAAGTACCGACTCCACATTTTGATGATGAGTGTGTAATCGCAACTTCACCTGAAAAAATCCATTACATAGTTTGAAAATAGGAATGAGCTGGATGCAAAACAATAAGATCCAAGATAAGAATTGTTTCAATATTAGGAGATACTTGTATAGTTATGGATTTCTACATATGTTAAGGATACTTAGATTATTTAAGAAATATTGAGTGTAGACTTATTGTTGGTAGAGGTTTATTCTTTTTTTTTTAAGAAGAAAAAGAAGCAGTATAATAACAGTGCACCAAGAGAATGCAACCGAAACAAAAATCAAAATTTACGAATCAATCAATATGTCAACAAAGTTCCCCTAAATTCTCAGGAAAATTAAAAGGATGACCCTTGATAAAGAAATAAAGTCTGAACCATGTGTCTCTAGTTCTACCAAAAGAAGAATCAACACACTCAAATCTTTCCTTCCAAATGACCCAAAAGGTAGCCAAGGAGGTAACGGGCAATAACTTCCTACTTTACTTATCACCACAGATGCCTCTCCAAGTCCAAATTTTATCAGCTACCGAACCTGCAATTGCCCATTCACTGTCAGGAGCCCAAAAGCAACACACAAGAGCTTGAAAGCAAGAGGGCCCCATAAAGAAGGTGATTTAGAGATTCAGCCGCCCTCTTTCCCAAAAATAGCCATTTACCAGGATTTTTCCCCTCTTTTGAGGTTACCTAAAGTCAGAATCCTTCCTTTTGCTGCTTCCCAAGGAAAGAACGCAACTCAAAAGAGGCATTAAGCTTCAAAATATGTTTCTAGCAAAAGGTCCTATTGTCAGGAGAACTACTCAGCAAGTAGCAGTAAAAAGAATCAACTGAAAAAATGCCGCTAGACCTCAAATTCCAAACCGCTCTTTGACACCTTTGTACATGCCTCCGCATAGGGAGAGAAACTGAAGAAGATCAACATATTCATCCACCTCCAATAGTTTACTTTTCTGAAAAAATCCACAGTCCATATTCCAGAGCTAGAGGTATAAGAAAAAGTCTCAACTACAGTAGCCTCTTTTAATCTAGCCAAGGCAAAAACTACAGGAAAGTGCTGCCCCTCCTATGCTCCAGTCATTCAATCAAAGTCTCACCCTTTGCCCCGATCAAATTTCCAACTAAAGCACCCCTTTGACATTTCCCAACCTGAGTTAACATACTTCCAAACACCCAACCATGTTGCACTCGAGAAGACCTTGGAATGCATTCCCCAGACTCCATCCCAAACTTAGCTCTGATCGACCACCCATAAAAGATTTTCCTACTCTAACATAAATTTCTGTAGCCACTCAAGGAGAGTCTTAGTGAATTCAACATGAATTTGATACCAAGGATGCCCTTCTAATAGGAAGCTTTATCGAGTTCCAGGCAACCAAATGAAACCTCTTTTTCTCCTCTAGATCCCCCCACATAAACGACCTTAATTGCCTCTAGCTTTTTTAGCCATAACAAAAAGGGTGTGGAATAAAGACAAACAGTAGCCCAGTAAATTGGAGAGGTTACTCTTGATTATTGAGAGTTTGACCTCTTCAGAAAGGAAACTCCTCTTCCACCGGTTCAACAGCTTCTGAAACCTAGTCACCACAAGCTTCCAGGTAGATAATCGTTAAATTTTGCTCCAGGGAGAAATCCTAAATATGTTAAGGGCGGAGTGTAGATGTGCACCCCAGAATCTCAGCCAAAGAATCAGCCTTCAAACCCTCCCCTAGAGCGACCAGCTTAGATTTAGTCAAATTAATCCTTAAAACTGGGACAACTTAAAACCACGGTAGGATACATAGCATAGTAAGTAAAGCATCGGAATTAGGTCCACAGAATAACAATGTGTCATCAGCAACAAACATGTGTGTCACCTCAACTGCCTTCTCTCCCTTCCCAGCAACCAAGCCTTGGAAAGCTGGAAATCTTTTGCTTTGATAAGCTTTTTGTCACACACTTCCATGACAATAATAGGATACCCCCTTTAAAAACGATACATATTTGTTCTTTAGTTAGGATCCTGTTTTATATTCTACACATAATAGGATATGTCAAAACCCTACAAATATACTATATTGTTAGGCAGACTATGAAGATTGTTATTCAAACATTATTAATAATTTTAGTTGATTATTCTGACGCAAAATCTCTCGCTTTGGTTTCTTTTTTTCCGTTTAAGAGCTTTGTTCAACTATTATTTCATATTTTTTGAGTTGCTGATGAAAATTTGGGCCTCCCATCAGACAACAATCTAGATATTTGAGATTCCAGCCAAACAAAGTGATTGGGTAAACACAAGACAATGATGAACAAGAAAATGATCAAATTTCGTGAAAGATAACAAGCTGATGATCAAGGATTGAGTAATGATCTTGAAACTATGAAGGTAAAAGATGCAATAGACAAGAATATAACTAAATTATCTTAGCTGCTAACTCTAATACTAAGTTTTTGATGATTTTAGATTTTATCATGCCTGTTTTGGCCACAATTTTGGAATCCACGCTTTTGGCAATATTATTTTTTTCTCAGAGAAGATCATGTTTCTAGAATTTCAATTTCTTGAAGGACCTTTTCATCTTTTTTGCTTTGACATCAAACCCTGAGGTTAAGATTTTACAAATTGGGAGACAATGGTGCCTACCAGGAAAGTCTTCTAATGGAAGTATTTAAATATTAAGAGGTATTTATTCAACTGTCGTGTTTTAAGTATTATTATAGATATTTGGCTTTGTAGAGGGGTCAGAATGTGATGTTAAAGGTGTTCGGATTGACTTTTTTTCGGTGGTCCAATGTGTTTATGGTGTCACAAAGTACGTCAAGAGCTTTTAGCTCCAAAATGGTAGCTCCTAAAGCTTTTTCTTTGCTTAAAAGACATCTCTAAGCTCAGTTCACCATATTCTTTTACCAAAATACTAAATATCACTGAGATTTTAGTATTTTGGTCATTAAACTAAGCTGTCAGCTTAAAGCTCATAAATTTACTGACCGCAACAAGTTTTAGATTTAAAAGCTAAAAAATAAGTCATGTAATCTAAAAACTTTTCAAGTTTAAAGTATGATATGAGTTTAAAGCCTGTTACAACTAAAAACTTCATGAGCTTAAAGCGAAAAAGAAAAAAAAAAAAAAAAAAAGAACCCAAACAGCCTCCTTTTCTTAATTGTTAGGTGGATCTTTACTTTTTTCTTTCTTTGCTGGTTTAGGAGGATTTATCGTCCTTTACTTTTGCACTCTTTTTCTTTCTGCATAAAAAAGATTAAGGATATGTAACTTAAACAGGAACAACTAAGGAGAGGCGGTTATTAGTAATTTTGCTTTTTCTTATCTATTTAGGATCCTATGTAAAATTCTAGATCTAATAAGATATCTAGAAGCCCTATAGATATTTGAGTGCTACTCTATAGTCAGGCACAATGTTATGATCATTATTCAAACATTATTTAAATTGAGTTGATTACTGAGATTGCTTCAATTTATCATTAATTTTTCCTAAAGAGTTCTGCTCAAACTCTGTTTGTCCTACATCAGATACAGCAACTATTAAGATATGCATAAAACAACTAAAAAGGATAGATCTCCCTAAAGGGAGAATGCTCAAACTAGACAGCATGGCTTAGAACGTGCCTTTTCTTCAGTATCATCAAAACGTTGGGTAAGCCTTGCAGCAATTTCTTCAGTTTCAGGAGGAGAATACTTCAAATGGTAGATCTTTCCAGTAACAGGATCCAGTCTACGCCCAACCACTCTTTCAACAAGAATCTCTTCAGCAACCTGCATAAGCAAGAAGAAAAGATTTACTAATTTCAATATTGGCAATATGTTATGCGATAGATATTTTGAAAACTATAACTTACTTAATCCAAACTACAGCTCAGAAACCTATCTTCAAGCGAGAAATTAACTAAAGCTGGACACCAGTATTACAAGGGTGCTACAATGTAGGATCAGAAAATGGATAATTACCTCCAAGAGAATGAACAGATCCGGTTGGAATCCAAATTCCTTGAGAGCTGTAGCTTGTGATAAGCTTCTAGGATATCCATCCAAAAGCCAGCCATTTTCTTGTGAATCTGGCTGCAGCAGACGCTCTTTCACCATCTACACCACCAAATGAACAAATCTTAAAGATACAGATGACCCTATGTAAAGCTAAGATATATTTTCCCCTACCTTGACAACAATTTCATCTGGCACCAACTGTCCTTTCTCCATGTATTCTCTTGCCCGTTTTCCATTTTCACTCCCTGCAGCAATTTCAGCCCTCAGCAAATCTCCAGCAGCAATATGCACCAAACCATACTGCATATATGAGGATGAATTGATTCAAACTGCTTTTCTTCACAAGCAGTTACAACATGAGAAATTCATGCAATAAAATGTGCAATTATGTATGAAGCTACAGAGAGACGATGAAGTAAAAGCCCAAAATTAATTTTAAGCCCACATTTACGCAAATTATGCCACTGTTTGACCTATGTGCATAACCTCTTATTTTATCGAAGAAATAACTTACAATTACCATGTCAAACAGTGGCATAATTTGTTGCCCTGCCAACATATTTCGGCATTCTAAGCGTCATTCGGCATCAATGTTGTTCTGTTTCATTAGTTACTTTGGATGCCTCGGTTCATATTGCTTACTTTGGATGCTCTGTTCATATTGTTTTGCTTTCTGTGTGTCTGCCCATCCTAGATCTCTTGTTAAATTGATGGTTGCGCATTAAACCTCTTGCCCTTAGTAGATAAATTAAAATTATATTTTGCGTAAATGTGGATCATTACTTGATTTATCTTTCTTGGATTCTTTCTTCGCTAGGTCCAACAAAAGAAGTTAAAAGCTGGTGATTGATAGTATTTGGTTGATCATTGGCTGCTTGAGTTCCCTAACTTGATACCAGCATTTGCTCTCTCTCTTATCTATGACCAAGACTCGGATTCTACACTTTACCCAGAAGGTGAAGTACCATGCTATTGCTCAAAACCTATCGGATCCTTCAATTTCCAGATGCATAGAGAGAATTACCAGTATAGTTTTAAGCAATCTGGCTTTAAATCAAGGTTTCCATTTGCATAAGTGCAATAACACACTCGAGTTCTTGAAGCCCAAATTAGAGGATAATTCATGAAGTCAGTGGTCGGATTAGAGACGATCCATGATTTTCAGCAGATATTACTTGAAAAGCCTTGCCTTCAGATCACCATTAAAGGGGAAATTTAAATGAGCAGTTACAGACTTCAACACTTGAAAAGCCTTGCCTTCAGATCATCATTCAAAGGGGAAATTTAAATGAACAGTTACAGATTTCAACAACTAAGGAATATTTTCTTAAGCAGAAAATTAAAATCCAAAAGGTACAAGTATAGTAATCAAAACACACAAGTTTTCCCCATAGGTTGGTAAAAGCAAGATTCTAATCCTAAGCCTAGCAGTCATTATTGGATCATCCCAATTTGCAGGTTTATACTAGACACCCTTAATCAGTATAGATGGTCCCGAAGATTCCCGTACTACATCCGTCACACCATCATCTCCCAATGCTTCCACAGCTAACTCTGATTCCATTTTCGTTCAGAAATCTAAACACTCTTGTACTCCTTGTCTCATCTCTAACTTTATTTTTCATGATCACTTATCTCAATCCTAGTTGCACTTATTACCTTGTTATTCTCTGCTTCAATTCTGAAGTATGTGATGTAAACCCTTACGACACAAATTTTATTTCTCAAAATATAAGAAAGAAAGATTACAATATTTATAGTTAATATATATCTTCTACCAATTTTTCAAATAAAAATAACTAATCATTTTTATTTCCATGGATACTTTTACTTTTATCTAAAATGTATTATCACTTAAGCTTTAAGTAAGTAATCTCAAACACTTTCTTAAAAAATAAAAAATAAAAAATAAAAAAGGAGATAGCAATGTCAAACACACTCTAAAAGCACATGAGAAAACAAAAGTCAAAAGGCAGAAGGTACATACTTTCCGAGTGATGAGCTCACACTGTGTACCTTTACCAGAAGCAGGAGCTCCTGATATCATTATCTTCAAAGGTTCCTCCTTTGTCAACGCCATAACCTGCTTCACGCAACAACAGAAATGTGTCATCGAAATCCGTATACAACAGAAAACTGCCCGTCTCCGGCATCCATGAAAACATTTCTTTCCAACTTGGTAGCCTAGAAAATTAGGCACAACTCAATAATGGTTTTAAAAAGAAATGACTAAAAACTTTTCCTCTTTCAAAATCAAGTCGATTAGTAATCATGTTTGGCATGTACGGGAAGAAATTTGCCTGAAGTTAGTGGACTACCAGACAAAATACTTAAAACAAAACAAAAAAAAAAAAGCGAATGAAGAAGCAGAGAATAAGGGCAATTCGCCATCCATTTTCAATCAGCAAAAACGAAGCAATCATTCAACTACCTGCAAAGTTGGCGACCGAGGTTTGGAGGAACGGCAGCGGAAGCGGCGGGAGATGGCAGAATTAGGGGAAGCGAGGGAAATGCAGGAAGGGAAGACATGCCTGGGAGTAAGGTGCTTTGAAGAGGAAGGAGATAAAGTCGGAGAATCCGATTTTGCAATCACAGCGAGATTTACACTGATTGCCATGATCACGCTTCCTCACGCTCGCTTCCCCTCGGCTGCTTTTCCGAATCACACACGTCTTTTCCTATTACAGCATGATGATTGATTTGCAATGAGTCTTCATGTTCGGTGGAAATTTGCTTATGTAATTCTCTGCCTGTTCTATTTGATTTTCACTTTCTGGTGAAAACAAATATATATATATATATAGTTTTGGAATAATTTGAATAAATTCTATAATTTTATGAAATTATTTAAATAAAGTAATTATATTGAATTCTATTAATTCACCATGTAATGATATTATATTATAAGTATTATTATATCTCTATTAAATAATTATTTCATTTTAATTTTCAACTTTATTTTATTTGGACAAACATAAAAAAAATAATAATTTATGTACTATTTCAAAAATTTTAAATCAAAATCTATAGTATTTTTCGGTTTAACTATAATTTAAATTTTGTTTGAATAGATCGTTATAACTGAATTGAGTATTGGATAGGTAACTCGTTTATTTATCTCTATCTATCTTGAATGAACGTAATTAAAAAATTATAAATTTAAAATAAATATAAAGTAAGTATGAAAAAAATATTTTATTCAACTCTAAACCGACCTCACTCTATTTCGTCCACTATATTTAATATTAATATTTTTATTTTTACTTAAAATAATTAAAATTTTATTAATAAATATTTATTCATGTATATTTATAATGTTAGTTTATATATGTTACTGAAGTATATTTAAATATTATTTTAAATTATATTTAATTAATATTTAATAGTTTTTAGTTAAATTATTTACACATTTTATAAATTTTTTAAGATTAAAATACAAATAAATGAGATAAGTAACACATAAAAAGTTTTACCTAACAAGACAGGTGGTGGGTAAAAACTTTTTTATTTGATTCAAATATGAGATAGGTACGAGTTTAGCATTGTTATTAGTTGAGTAAATAATAAAGTTGACGTATACCTAATGCTCACTTTATACCTATTCGTACTTATAACTACTTGTATTTCTAACATTATTAGATAAATATCTATATCGAAAATAATATGTCAAGTTTTTAAAATATTGTTATTACAGCAGAGTGCTTCAACTATTTTGATCACATATATAAAACAAAGAGTCATATGACCGCTATATTAGTTATCACTTTTCGTATTTATTTTCTTTTTTCTTACTTTTTTTTCTATCTTCAAACAATTATAAATTAAGTTTAACTTCACAAAAACATAAAATAGTTAAAAAAATCTTCAACACTAATGCTACTCTAACGCTCTTCTGCGATTGTTTAAACATCATCACCAATTTAACGATACTTAAAAATTTAGTATATTAATTATATAGTTGTCAGAGTAATAATATTTTTAAAATATAACGTCTACGAAGACACGCTTATACAATTAATGCATCTATATAAACATATTAAATACGTCGTTAGTTAGAAGAATATATTTGAGAATATAAGTTGTGTTAACAAAAAAAATTAAGAACTTTTTGAATCATATATGAGTTTTTAGTATATTATCCATTCTTTTATCCAGCTAAACTGATGTGTTAATATGTTGCAAGTGTGCAAGAATAATTTTTTAATAAAATCTCCAATATAATTCTCAATTCAACACAACTAATTAAAACCTAAGAAGATATTATTAGAAGCATAAGTTTAAGACACCAAAGTATAACTACTCCAAAACCTTATGGTAAGAATAAACATAGAGAATTAAAGTTCAAATAAAAATACTACTATAATTCTAAATATTTTCCATGTCTACTTCAAACCAAGTATTTTCACAATTTCAAATGTACAAAGAAACATAATTATATAATTGTAATCTTCTATAAGGTAAGTAATTGAATGAAGAATATAATTTATTTGAACTAAGTATGTAGCAAATAACTTCCACAGAGAAAACTCAGGAAGTTGATTCTGTGCTATTTCAACCTGAAGGACAAATATGGCAGATAGATGAGAGTAACAGACACAAACATCTACAAACAATATTCAATCTCTAACTCACAGCAGATGAATATCTAATATAGTAAGGAAAGTCCATTGCAGTCACTGAGAAATATTGTAACATAAGGATTTCAAAGTACAACCTGTGTAAAGAATAACAAAAATGGAAGCAGTCACTCAACACTCCACTTCTGGAAACCTAAACCAATTAACAGGAAACCCACAAAGAACAAAAAAAAAAAAAAAAAGAAGACAAGAAAAGAATATTGATTGCATGGAGCAGGAGCACTTTTGGGTCTCTTCCTGAACACGAAACCAACTGTGAAGAAATAAAGAGTTCTTTCTTCCTGATACAACATTATAATCTTCCACAAGTATTCAGCGGTTTGGCATGGCATATTCCTCTAAGTACCATCTTCCAACAAATCTGAAATTCGAATGGCTTCTGACGTGCAATGCTGATTCCATAAGGGAAAGCACCAGCTGATCAACAAAAGATCGAGAAGGAACTTCCACCTTTGGAAAAAGCCAACAAGTTGATCTTCATAGGAACTATCTGCAGAATGCAATTTGCTGTTCAGACATTTTTCCAATATAACAGGTAGAAAACTTGCACGGCTGAGATATGTCATTCAAAAGTTTTCTTAATAAAAAAAACGAGAGGGATAATCATTCAAAAGTATTCAAACAAACTTGCTCTCTTTATGATGTCACCAAAATTGCCTATTAAATCCTTTTAAAG